CTCTGCTGCGGTTCGCGGCGGCGCACGTCCCGCCGAGGAAGCACAAGGAGACGCCGCTGTACATCCTGTGCACGGCGGGTATGCGGCTGCTGCCCGAGCGGTGAGTTCGCGGCCCTCTTCAGGGTCAGAGCGATGCGCTGGCCTCCCTCAGCCCCGAGGAAGGGCAAGACAGCTGCCTGCTCTTGGACCTTGCAGGAGAATCGAGAATATTGTGGGGGGGAATTGAAAAGGGAAGGGGCGTGTTGTAGGGGCAAGTGGCAGGGCATGCAGAAGGAGAGTTTGAGCGTGTTGGGAGGGAGCTCAGCGGAGGTGCTTTTGACTGAGAGTCTCAAACAAATAGATCTCTTTTTCCATCTCCAAAACATGCTGGCTGCAGCAGCAGAACTCGTGGGTTGAACAGGGGCTGTAGCGCAATGTGATTCCTGGTCTATTTGCCAGCATTGCTGGTGAAGATCCCCCAGCATCTGTCCCTCTCCTGCACCCTTGCAGGCAGCAAGCTGCAATCCTGGATGACTTGGTGACAAATGTGCCCCTGGAATTTGATTTCCTCTTCTCCTCATCACACGCTGAAGTGATCTCAGGGAAGCAGGAAGGTAGGAGCTGCCACAAAGCACTGCCTGTTCCTCTGTAGCATATTGTTGTAATGACCTTTTCTGTCTTGAGCAGGTGTCTATGCATGGATTGGCATCAACTTTGTCCTGGGACGGTTTGATCACGAGGATGGTGAGTCTGGCTGCTTGTAAAGTAGCTGGGAGGGTCTAAGTAGAGCTGTGTTGGACTTTGTACCAGTGCTGTAGCTAAGATCAATCTCTGGAGCAGGCAGCAATGCCTGACCCCTGTCCTACGTGTGGAACTTACCCAGACCTGGGAGGTGGTCCTTGCAGGTGGTCCTTAGGGTCTGCCTGCAGGGGTGGAGGAACCCCATGAGGCAGCTGTGGGGTGATGGTGGAAGGGAGAAGATGCTGTCCCAGGCCCTGCCTCTTGCTGACATGCTGCTGTGGGTTGCAGAGGAGGACGCAGTGGTCATGGTAGAGCTGGGGGACCAGGGGAAGTCCCTGGTTCGGAAACGAACAGTTGGGATCCTAGACATGGGAGGCGCCTCCCTGCAGATTGCCTACGAAGTGCCGGACTCTGGAGCCCTCTCCTCCCCACAGCAGGTGCGTGTCTGGTCCCTGAGAGCAGCTCCCGCCTTCCCTGGATTGCTGCTGATCTTGGACCTATCTGTGTCAGCAGGAGGAGGCTGCTAAGAGCTTGCTGGCAGAATTCAACCTGGGCTGTGATGTGCAGCACGCTGGCCACATGTACCGTGTCTATGTCAACACTTTCCTGGGCTTTGGGGGCAATTTTGCCCGGCAGCGCTATGAGGAACATGTTCTGAACCAAACCTATGTGCACAACCGGTACTGCTACCTCACCTAGTGGTGCCCCTGCTAGAGCATTGTGAAATGGGGTGTTGGTTCCTTCATGCTGTGCCCTCCCCCTTGGATTTACCTCAAATGCCACCTGTGGTGATAACAGCTCCCGTGGCCACGCTGGCAGCACCTCTGTGGCAGCAGCAGGTGCCTGAGCTGGCACAGAGTGCTTGGCTGCAGCTGTTCTGCAAGCCTGGCAGGCGTTATCAGTGCCACAGCTCCCTGCCTTCCTCCTTCTCTCCTTGTGACAGGCTACAGGGAGGCCTCTCCTAGTGGCTTTTGGCTTTTCCTGCTCTGACTTCCCCTCCTCCAGCACTGATTCACTCAGCACATCTTTCCATTGCATCCCCACCTCGAGCTCTCCTGTCTCCTGCCTCTCCTTTCCTTCCAAGAGTACTACATGAAGCTGTCGCCAGAGGTGGAGAGGCTTGGTGCCCAGGTACTCCTGTGCCAGGAGCAACCCCTGCCTCCAGATCCCCAGGGGCTGTGCAGAGGCACAGATCCCCATGAGCTGGGTGGGGTGGGCTGTGCCTTGTTGCACCCTACAGGTGCTCAGAGCACGTAGCTGCAGGCCAACATGACAGATTTGGTGAGTTCAGCCTTAGCAGGAGGTGGCAGGGCAAGCACCAGCTCTGCAGGGTACGAGAGGACACAGCCTGGTCTGGTGCAGAGGGTATCTGGATGTGGGGCAGGGCTAGATTAGGCTTTTGGGAGGTATAGGACCCCCTGTGCAATTGTCATTTTTTCCTGGACTGTTTTCCAGCCTGCACAGCCAGCAGACAGGGATGAGCCCCAAGATGCCCTTCTTGGACCCCTGCCTGCCTGTGGGGTTGGAGGACACGGTGGTGAGGGGTGGCCAAACCCTGTACATAAGGGGACGAGGGGACTGGCAGGCCTGTGCAAAGCTGCTGCAGCCCCTCCTGGCAGGGTCCAATGGCAGCCATGCCTCCCTGGTGGAGACCTACAAAGCACCCATCGACTTCAGCAACAGTGAATTTTATGGCTTCTCAGAGTTTTTCTACTGCACCGAGGATGTGCTGCGCCTGGGGGGCCAATACAGTGCCTCTACCTTCACCTCTGCTGCCCAGGTGGGTGCTGCCCCAGGCCCGGGGAGCTGGGCTGTTCCTGTGGCTGGGAGTGAGGGCACTTTCTCTGCTCTGAACCCCAACTTCTCCTTCCCCCAGGCGTACTGCAGCCAGCGATGGGAGGTGCTGACCCAGCGTTTCCGCGGTGGCCTCTACTCTGCACATGCGGACCAGCACCGGCTGAAGTAAATGGACTTGCTGGGAGGTCCCATGGCTGGACCTCCTGGGGAGCCTTTTGCTGGGGTACGGGACTGGTGCAGTTGTTAGTGTCTGGCTGATGCTCCTGTATGCTGTGTCTGCAGGTATCAGTGCTTCAAATCAGCCTGGATGTACCAAGTCCTTCATGAGGGCTTCCAGTTCCCGCTGGACTACCCCAGCCTGCGCACAGCCCAGCTGGTGTACGACCGAGAGGTGCAGTGGACACTGGGAGCCATCCTCTACAAGACGCGATTTCTGCCACTCAGGTACCACGGCTCGCTGATGGTGTCACACAGGGAAGGGTGGTTGGGGAGGAGCAGGAGTAACTGCACTGGGTGAGGGCTCTGCACACACCACGGCAGGACCCTGGCAGTACTCCACTGCATCTCGTGGCCAGTCCTGACACTCCTTTCCATAGGGATCTCCGTCAGGAGAGCATCCGGCAAGCACACGCCTCCTGGCTGCGCCTCTCTTTTGTCTACAACCACTATCTCTTTTTTGCCTGCATCCTGGTTGTGGCCCTGGCCATCGTCCTCTACCTCCTGCGGCTGCGCCGTATCCACCACCGGCAGCTGCGCTCGGCCCAGCACACCCTGCTCTGGCTGGACAAGGTGGTGGTGCCACTGGGCCAGGGAAGCGTGCCGTGATGGCAGTGGTAGCCAGCAGCCCGTTGCACCAGCAGAACTAGGAGTGGCTGTCAGCCCGGGAATCTGAGAGCTTGGACTCTTTCTTAAAGACCATCTCAAAGTGTGCACTCCATCAGCTCTGCATCAGAACCAGAGTCTGCAGGCTGAGGCAGCCATGGACACGAGAGCTTTCCTCTCCACCTTGCCCCAGTCCTAATCTTTGTGTTCCTTGGCCTCTGGCCTTCGCCTCACTACATGGTGTAGAGCAAAGTCCTCTGCTACCAGCAGGCTCAAGGCTGCAGCCCTGGCAGATCCCTCAGATAACAGGGCACTATCACCAAGGCAGCCAACCCAGGGCTCTGGCCTGGAAGCACTGAGCCACTCCATGACTCAGCCACCACTTTGCAGAGCAACCTGGAGAGGTGCTGTGGTTCACCACCTGGGGTGGCCTTCTGCAGGCCCTTACAAGCCTGGGACCAGCAGGCACCAGCTAAGTTACTGCAGGAACAAGGTAAATCACAAGTTGCACCAGGCTGCTCTGCCAGCCTTGCCCCTCTTGGGAATATTCCTGAAGGGGTGTCCTGCTCTTTGCTGTGTCTTCCCTCCGAGGACAATCCTACAGTCCTACCCAGCGTCCCAGACTGAGCCCTGAGGGCTCACTGATTGAGATTCTTGAGGCACCACTGAAGTGGGCTGGCTTTCATACATTCCCTCCTGGGCACCGCTGCCCTGTGGCGTCTCAGGCACCAGTGTCAGGACCTGTGGTTCTTTCCTCCGTGAGTGCGGGCTGGGCCTGCCCCTGAGAGAGCCACCTCAGTCCAGCCCAGCTCACAGCCCCAGGACAGATCAGGGCTGCAGCTGTGCACACAGGCACAAACCTTCCCTGGGGCTGGAGCCCCACTGAAGGTCCAATGAAGTTTGTCACTTTTATTGAACTCAGCTGTTCTCATTCTGGTAGCAATAAACAAACCCTTTGAGCCATCCAGCACTGGTCTCCTTTCCTAGCAAGCAGCTCCCAGCAGCCGTGGCTCCTGACTGGTGGCTGCACAGCTCTGCTGTGCTGCTTTGTGCTGCCACTGTGGAACAACGGAGTTCCTTTCCTGCCAGTATTCTTTGTTTCCAGCAGGACTGAGCTGGTAGCAGCAAGGGGAGCTCTGATCCAAACCAAACTGTTGGGATCTTGGAGACAGCATCCTTTGCTGCCCTCTTTCTACCAGGAAAAAGCCTGCCCACTCAAGAGTCCCTCCAAGATGTTGGTCTCTGCTTTTTACCTTATTCCCCGAGTCTTAGCTGCCCAGCAAAGAGGCCTCTGAGCTGCTCCAGTGCCATGGAAATGGCCCCAGCACAGCTGCACGGGGTTGGGCAGCTACCCAGTTCTCTCTCTAGCACACACAGTTCCCTCCCTGTGACCCTGGTCCCACAGCATGAGCGCACAGGTGGCATCAAGGATAAAACTTTCCATGCACCAGTGTGCTGCTGACCTGCTCAACAGCTGAGGATCCCAGCCTTGTTCACATGGTGTGAGAACAGTGCTGGGGAAAGGTGTCTGAATAAGGCCAAGACTGTTGCTTAGCCTCAAAGCAATGACTCAGCCTCCGGCATAACTTACTAGAAAAAGGATTTATTTCCACAACACAAGTTAAACGCCACTAACAAATAAATAAATACGGATAAATTATCTGATAAATAAGGGGAAACCTGAAACACAGTGCCCTGCTTGGCTCTTCTCAGAACCTGGACCCATCTTGTGGTGGAGATACCTAAACACTACTGCAGCTGCCTCACTGCTCAGGTGGGAGACAGCGCTCTTTTCGTCCCCTCCAGCAGACCCCAACACCTCCCTTATCACACCCAAGGGAGTCTGCGTGCTCCTCTAGGGTCAGCCCTCCCTTCTCCCATCCAGAATCTGCCTTAGCAGGGACCACCCCCACCACAGGGGACTGACCAGACCACAGAGGATGCAATGGCTCCTGCGTTCTCATGCAGACAGGTAGCCAGTGGATGTAATGATCAGGGACAGGGCAACTAGTTGGGCAGCTTGGGCTACGAGCAGGGGTTTCACATGGGAGCTAGGGCTGAACACACCAAGAGGGTAGGACAAGCACTGCCAGGACAGGATCTGCTGGCACCACACACAGATCCCTCACAGGATGGTGCTCAGTCACTGCAGCACTGGGCCACCTGAGGGATCTCTCCCTGGTAGCGTGGCTGCTTCTAGTGCTGGATTAGTAGGCCCTTGTTCAGGGGTGCCATGCTTGGGGGCCCAGCCATCCATTGGTCCAGGCTGCAGTGCTCCAGGTGTGCTTGGGCAGCGGGTCCAGCCTCTGTCCCAGCACCTCTGGGGGCTGTCCGGTACAGAAGGATAGAGGCTGGAACAGCTACAAGAGCTGGGGGAGGGAGAAAGGAAGAGAAGTTAGCACCAAAACACATTCATGAGGGAGCTCCCACAAATTTGAGAACTACAGTGCTTGATTTGCTCAGGCCCAGCGCAGAGTCAGCAGCCCCACACTGGGACCACCTCACCACAGCCACAACGCACAGAAGCCAAAGTATTTCCCCCAGCCCAGCAAGGGCTGAGCTGCAGCTCCCTCCTGAGCCCTACACAGACAAGCAAGCAGACTGTGCCCACTTACGGTGATGGATTTGATGGGGATCACTGTTGAGGCGTCAGTTCCCAGGAAGTGCTCACTCCCAGAGGAAGCGCACGTACCAGATGGTCTCGTTCTTCAGCTGCGGCCCGAACAGGGGGTTGGCCTGGGCCAGGATGGCGATGAGCCAGCTGCAAAGGGACACACCTTCCGTCAGTCCCCCCGGCAGGACCAGAGCGCCGGGAGCGGCTGCTGCCCCGGGGGTGATGGGCCCGCGGTACTTACAAGAGGTAGCAGCACACGGCGGTGGTGACCAGCATCGTGATGATCACCCTGCGGAGATACCGGCGTTAGCACAGGAAGGCCCAGCTCCGGATCCCCCGACCGCGGT